CTTTTGTAAAATAAAAATGAATAATTGAAATAAAAAACATATGATAGCGGAAGAACGATGTTGAAAGTATTAGAAATATTTTTTCCTTTTACACGCGCACTATTGACATTTTTATAATCCTAAAAAGAACATGATGAAAGGGGTGCAATTAATAATTTTAATATCGCAATTTTATATCTATTGTTACTTTAAAATAAATTATACACTACGATTATATAACGTGGTATAATTGAATCAGTATTTTATCGTTTATTTCATACATTACAAGGAAAGAAAAAAACGATTTAATTATTCTATTAAACAATTACGTGTAATATATTTTTTATTGCATGTCATCTTAGGAATATGCAGCGATTGCAATGAGTGAGTTGCTGGGATGGTATGGTTATAACAAAGTGGATAGCGATTGTACAAGAAGTTTAAATTTAGATCATTTTTCGTCTTCATCTCGTGCAAAAAATAATCAAATGCTACAAATGAAGTCAAACTTCATTTCAAATAAAGAGAAACCAAAGTCACCACTACCGCTTATTACCACCGATTCACCCAGTAACGGTTCCAATGTATCTCTACAATATTCTGCAAACAATTTAACAGCTGCAAGCGAACAAATATCATCAACTCCATTATCACTCAAAAAAGAGGCAGTCGATTATACAAATAGTGTCTCATATAATAACTTCTCAAGTTCCATTTGCTCAGGTAAAGAAAAACAATTAGATTGTACAGGATTAATAACGTACGGTTGCTTTTAATATTCTCGTATGTGTTACAGGTGACGCATTTTGCTCTTGGTGCGGTCGAATTACTGAAACATGTAAATCAGGAAGAACGAATTCGCTTTCTTGCAATTCGATAAACGCTTTGGGACATTTTTGCAGCGAGGCTTGTTCCGCAGCTGGTAAAAAAGCCGTTTTTAAGCGTACGAAAACTTGTAATTGGTGTAGGCACATAAAGAATCCAATTAGCTATGTTGACTTTCAAGTATGTCGAGTAAAACAATTATTTTTGATAATTGTGTCGTAAACGGTGTTCAGTTTTCAACTAATTGCACGATTTTTAGGACGGTGAAAGTCAACTTCAATTTTGCAGCGATAAGTGTTTAAATCAATACAAAATGAATATCTTTTGCCATGAAACACAAACGCACTTAATGCTTCATGGTTTAAACACTGTTTCTTGTCATGATACAGAAAAAGATAATTTAATAACACCGGAGCTTTGGTTTCGAAATTGTCAATCGCCGATAGGTAGTAGTTCCACGGAGAATACATTTGCAGCAAATGAACATGCGGTCTCTAATTTATCTTCGCATGACAAATCAGAAGAAAATGAAGAGAATGAAACCGAAAAATCAATAGAAGCTTCTAGAAAAATGATAAGAAAGAGAGATTCATTTTACATCGAATTATGTTCCAAAGCTGGTAACTATAATGGAAACAAAAAGAATGTTCATACTGAAATCAACGAAAATGATATTAACGAACAAGATAAAAAACAATGTTTTGTAAATGAAGACAACAGATTCTGTCATTGTCTAAATAATCAAAATCATTACATCGTAAATTGTTCTCGGCAAAATACTTTGAATTGTAATAATTTGACAGAGAACTGTAACTTGATAAATGTTATTAATTGTGATTCACATAGTCATGGACACAACAATATACATGTAAAAGACATAAGAGTTTTACAAGAAGAGAAAAAAGACACTACATCGGAAAATATAAGTTCACCGCACCCGTTTACAAATGCATCTGTATCTAAAATAGAGCATGACACGCCATTGCCGCCTAAATATCTTACAAACAAATTCAATCGGGCAACACATAAAAAACAAATTAATACTTCTACAAGAAGATCACCCTCCATACAATCTAGTCAAGCTGAGTCATCTATTCATACATTAACTTCTAACCATCTGCCACCTGTTACTGTTCTTGTGCCATATCCTATTCCTGTGCCCATACCTATACCAATTCCTGTTCCTATACCAACACCAATTCTGAATAAATTTATGGTCGATGAACAAAAACTATCTATAAATACCAAAGACATAAAATATAAAGATACAAAATACAATGAATCAGTAGAAAATAAATGTTCCATGCTTCAAGAATCACAGTTATGTAGAAATACAAATACAAATATGTTTGTGTCAGATGAACCACAGCGTGAAGCTTCGACAAAACTTTGCGTTTCATTGAACTCATCTAGTATTAACAATAAAAGTAATAATGGTATACAACTATTTAAATACAGTGAAAAACCACCAAGGAAAAGGAAACATTTAAATGAAAATATTAATTATGAACATAAGGAGCAACAATTGAAAAAAAGGAATAAATCTATAGCTACTTAAAAAAATATAATATAGAAATAAATAGTTTCTATGAATAATTCTTCAATTCAGCACAGTTAATTAAAAGTAATTTCATAAAATATTTCCTGAGAAGCATTTTATAGTTGATATACAACACATTTAGAATTTTTATTGAATGTAATATTCAATTCCATAAA